TCCCATGGCAGCCCAGCAGGGCCTGCTGCCAGGCCGGGGGAAGGGTAACGCCGCTGCACCGAAGGCACCTTGCCATCTTCTCGGCTCCCCCGCTCCTCCTTCAGTCCCTGCCAGCTCGGCCCTGTCCCCGTGTGCAGGGAATGGCCCATTCGAAATGCGAGCCAGGCACTGAACTGGGGAGATGAAATAAGAATATTAGAACAGCCAGACTGGGTCAGACCAAAGGTCCATCTAGCCCAGTATCCTGTCTGCCCACAGTGGCCAAGACCAGGTACCCCAGAGGGAGGGAACACAACAGGTAACCCTCATGTGGTCCCTCTCCTGTCACCCGCCTCCAGACAGACAGAGGCTAGGGACACCAATCCTCCCCATCCTGGCTAATAGCCATTGATGGACTTAACCTCCATGAATCTATCTCGCTCTTTTTTGAACCCTGTTAAAGTCCTAGCCTTCACCACATCCTCTGGCGAGGAGTTCCACAGGTTAACTGTGCGCAGCATGAAGAACAACGTCCTTTTGTTTGTTTTAAACCTGCTGCCTGTTCATTTCACCTGGTGACCCCTAGTTCTTATATTGTGGGACTAAGTCAATAACTTTTCCTTATTCGCTTTTTTCACACCAGTCCTGATTTTATAGATCGCTAGCCTATCCCCCCTTAGTCTCCTCTTTTCTAAGCTGGAAAGTCCCAGTTTTTTTCATCTCTCTTCATATGGGACCCATTCCAAACCCCTCATCACGTTTTTTGCCAATATATCATTTTTGAGATGAGACGCCCACATCTGTGCGCAGTAGTCAAGATGAGGGCGTCCCAGGATTTTATATAGAGGCATCACCCTCCTCTTCCTCCCCTTGCTCGTCAGGTTTTGGAGGCCCTGGTGAAAGAAGCCATCGGGACCCAGATGCAAGTTCTCCGTGACATCCTGCAGACTGAGATCCAGACCACCTTCGAGATCCTGGAGCTGCGACTCCAGAAGAAGGCCTTGCTCCTCAGCCAGCCTGTCCCCTACCCCCCACCGCCCCTGCCTGTAGAGCGAGCCTGGAAGTCATCCAAAGCCCAGCAGCCGAAAAAGAAGAAGTGAGGAGATGGGGGGTGAGCACGGCCGTGGGCAGAAATCCCCCCCGAGCGGTAAGACCCATGGATGGCGTCTTGACGGCCATGCAACCTGCCCTGGGGTTTAGACACTCGCTCCCCAGCTCGGAGTCGGTTCGTTCGCGTTGCCATGGCTGGGGAAGGGGGTCAGCGTGACGGAGGAGCTATTAATATGGGGGATGGAGTCACCAGATGTTGCTAGCATGGCCTGGGGGCTACAGCTTTATTCTCCCCTTAATAGCTTCCCGGTGCCTTCTGGATTTGTCAGCGAACACGAAGCGACCTGTCTAATAAACGTATGACCTGACCCCTCTCCCTCACGCTGGGTTTAGACCCATCTCATTCCTCTGGCTTCCTTGGGGCATGGGAATCGGGCAGTCGGGGATCCGGCTGGGCCTGGCTGGGGGGCTTTGCACCAGTCCCTCACTGTTGCCGTGCCTCACTTTACCCCTTTCTAAAGAGGGCTGGGCGGGGTAATCATAGAATCATAGAATCATAGAATAATAGGACTGGAAGGGACCTCGAGAGGTCATCGAGTCCAGCCCCCCACCCTCAAGGCAGGACCAAGCTCCGTCTACACCATCCCTGACAGATGTCTATCTAACCTGTTCTTAAATATCTCCAGAGAGGGAGATTCCACCACCTCCGTTGGCAATTTATTCCAATATTTGACCACCCTGACAGTTAGGAATTTTTTCCTAATGTCCAATCTAAACCTCCCCTGCTGCACTTTAAGCCCATTACTCCTTGTCCTGTCCTCAGAAACCAAGAGGAACAAATTTTCGCCTTCCTCCTTGTGACACCCTTTTAGATATTTGAAAACCGCTATCATGTCCCCCCTTAATCTTCTTTTTTCCAAACTAAACAAGCCCAGTTCATGAAGCCTGGCTTCATAGGTCATGTTCTCTAGACCTTTAATCATTCTTGTCGCTCTTCTCTGTACCCTTTCCAATTTCTCCACATCTTTCTTGAAATGTGGCGCCCAAAACTGGACACAGTACTCCAGCTGAGGCCTAACTAGTGCAGAGTAGAGCGGCAGAATGACTTCACGAGTTTTGCTTACAACACACCTGTTGATACAACCTAGAATCATATTTGCTTTTTTGGCAACAGCATCACACTGTTGACTCATATTCAACTTGTGGTCCACTATGACCCCTAGATCCCTTTCCGCCATGCTCCTTCCTAGACAGTCGCTTCCCATCTTGTATGTATGGAACTGATTGTTACCAATGTTAATAACGATACCTGCCCCTCAGAGCTGTGGTGAGGCCTGGTGCACTAACTCTGAGGCCCTCCCACGAACGGTGAGCGAAGCCTCACGCCCATCCATCCGTTAAACGCTCTAGAAGCACGGGGCAGTGGACATCAGCCCTCTAGGGTTACGTCTACACTGGCATGATTTTCTGGAAATGCTTTTAACGGAAAACTTTTCCGTTAAAAGCATTTCCGGAAAATCATGCCAGGAAAACTTTTCCATTAAAAGCATTTTCGGAAAAGTGCGTCTTGATCTAGACGCACTTTTCCCCAAAAAGCCCCGATCGTCATTTTCGCGATCGGGGCTTTTTTGTGGAAAACAGTACTGTGCTGTCTACACTGGCCCTTTTCCGGAACAGTTTTCCAGAAAAAGACTTTTGCCCGAACGGGAGCAGCATAGTTTTTCCGGAAAAGCACTGATGATTTTACATGAGATCGTCAGTGCTTTTCCGGAAATTCAAGCGGCCAGTGTAGACAGCTGGTAAATTTTTCCGGAAAAGCGGCTGATTTTCTGGAATAACTTGCCAGTGTAGATACAGCCTAGGGGTGCACGATGGGGCCTGATCCATGATTCAGCAGCACCCGCAGCAGCGAGATCAGGTGTTTTCATCCATCCTAGGAAGCCTGATGAAAGGCCTAATTATTCCCATATTCAGCACGGCTGCTGTCCCTAGTACTGCCAAGGGGATAAAGCCCACAGCTTATCTGCACAATCACAGGCAAAGTCGCCCTGACCGGGGCTGGCTGCCTCCTCCCTCGGTTTTCAGTGAGAGTGGAGCCAGGCTGCAGTTCAGGGGCCTGGCCAGGACACGGGGCGTGTGAGCAGCAGCAGAGATGCTGTGGAAGAGGGATGAGGGGGAGCAGGAGGCAGATTTCGAGGCTGCGGGGGGGCCGTGGCGGGGGAAGGAAAGAGGCTGGAGGCTGGGAGAGGGAAGGAGGCTGACAGGTGCCGCAGGAGGAGGCAGAGGGGGTGCCGGGGACAGTGGTGGGGTGGGAGAGGAGGGGACAGTCTGGCAGCGTCTCCACCCCGG